ATTCTTGGCAAGAGGAATAAATCCAGAAAGCATAGTTTCCATCCTGTCCTTCTCCTGGGGCCTTTAGCTTTTTCCTTTCTTAATTAGGATTCTTTTAACTTTCTCTTTGGGAGATGTTATGGCTGGCAGATTTAGAGAAGGTTCCCAAACTCTATATTTTGCTTTTTTTGGTTTTGTTTTGTTTTGTTTCCCTCAGAAGATTCGAGATGGAAACACCCTATTAATTTGCGAACTGGGAACACGTCTTTCATATTTCACTGACTAAATCTGTTATTTATCATCTCCTGGGGTTATTTCTAAGCTAAGCAACAGTGATCTTCAGCCAAGGCACGTTCTCCTGTTAGGCAGAAGCAAGCAGCTCCCTCAAAAAGCAGATTCTGGAGTGCCATAAAGGAGATCAAGGAGTTGACCATCCGACTCTCCTGAAATAGATTACTAGACTCAGAATCAGTAGTGGCATTCTACCGGTTCAGGCCGGTTCGAGCGAACCGGTAGTAAAAAATGCTACCGATTGGCCGAACCGGTAGTAAAAACACATTTACTGGTTCAGCCAAACGGGTATTTCTTTCTTTCTTCTTTTTTTTTGACACCCCTGCACTAGAGTCTCAACATCCTTCTTATACTGTGGCGACCAAAACTGGATGCCATAATCGAAGTGTGGTCTTACTCAGCGGCAACAAGGACACGTCTCCAGTAGAGCTGAAGTGGATTTGCTTCTCCTCCTGGTTCTCTCCTGCCTTCTGTGCCATCAGCTAAAGAATCAAAATAGTGGTGACCCACATTCCCATCTTCTTTCTCAAATGTCACCAGATCCCTTTGGGTTTGGTGAGAAGGAAGCTGAGATTGAAGCTGTCATTAATAATGCCGATTCATGGCTGTATTTTTCCAGAAAACAGATGGTATATTTTGCTCTCCTTCTCCTTCTTCTTTTTCTTCCTCCTCCTCCCTCTTCTTCCTCCCCTCCCCCTCTCCTTCTTCTCCTTCTCTTCCTCCTCCTCCTTCTTCCTCTTCCTCTTCCTCCCCCTCCCCTTCCTCCTTCTCCTTCCTCCTCTTCTTCCTCCCCCTCCCTCTCCCCCTCTCCTCCTTCTTCTCCTTCTCCTCCTTTTCCTTCTTCTTCTCCTTCTTCTTCTTCCTCCCCCTCCTCCTCTTCCTCCTTCCTCCCCCTCCTCTTCTTCTTCCCGCTCCCTCTTCCTCTCCCCCTCTCCTTCTCCTTCTCCTTTTTTTCCTTCTTCTTCTCCTTCTTCTTCCTCCCCCCTCCTCCTCCTTCCTCCTCCTCCT